ATCCCAAATCCCGCATCTGCACCCTTCCTCCCACATCCTCCACCTGCAGCCGCATCCTGCGCCCGCACCCACGTCCGGCACCCGCACCCCAATCCCCACATCTGCATCCCGCATCTCCAGCCCACCTCCATCCCGCTGCCAGGACCCCGAGGGCACCAGCAAACCCTGACGGTCCCACCGGGGACCCTCACCCCACCCAGGAACCCTGTATAAGCTCAGCCCAGGGTCCCTACTGGGCCATACTGGGCTGTGAACCTTATAGATGCCTCCTGGCTGCACCTCATCGCCATCATCCCCCTCCCAACCGCAGGACAAAAGCTTAATTGAAATTAAAATCATTGGCAAGGCCGGCTTGGCCCCATCCAGCCCATCTTTCCCGCTCTGTCCCGGCTTCTCCGCAGTAGGTGTGATGTGGGAGAGCGGCGTTCCCAAACCGGCCAGCGCAGGGATGAGGCTTCCCCATCCGCGGGGGCTCCGTTCCCCTCCCCGAATCGCTGCCCCGGCACATCTGGCAGGCAGATGTGGCCACGCGGCCGAGCTCTGCCTCCCAGATGGGGGACGAGCGGCATCAATCCCTGTACGCGATTCGAAAGCCGTGATTTTTTTCCTTGGAAATTTGCATTTCCCGGCTCCTTGCACGCACTCCCCATCCCTGGGGGTGCCACAAGGTCCCCGTGCGCGGCCGGGCCTGCACCATGATGCTCTGGGGCTGGACCATCCCTTGTCCTGTGCCTCCATCCCACCTCTGCATCCCAAATCCTGCTTCTGCATCCCATGCCCTATGCCCAACATCCTTCATTGCTTCTTAAATCCTTTCCCACGTCGCCCATCCTGCATCCCACCTCTGCAGCCTAAATTCTGCTTCTGCATCCCAAATCCTGCACCTGCCCTTCCATCCCATGCCCTGTGTCCTGCATCCATCTCCATCTGCACCCAAATTCCTGATCCTGCAGCCCCCCTCCTGTGTCCTGCATCTGTGTTGCGTGTCCTCTGTCTGGAAACCTGCATCTGCATCCTAAATCCTCCAGCCTGCATCCTAAATCCTCTGTCCTGCATCCCGCGTCCTGCATCTGCATCCTTAATCCTCCATTTCCCATCTGCAATCCCAATCCTGTATCCTAAATCCTCCATCCCACTTCTGCATCCTAAATCCCACTTCTGCATCTCCAGACTTGTGTCTGCATCCATGTCCCGTACCCTCCATCTGGGAACTGGTGTCTGCGGCCTAAATCCTCCATCCCAAATCCTGTGTCTGCATCCTAAATCCTCTATTGCATCCTAAATCCTCTATCTGCTTCCCGAATCCTGGGTTGTTTTTTTTTTCCAAAATCCTGTATCTGCATCCCGAATCCTGCATCCCGCATCCTAAATGCATCTGCAGCCTAAATCTTGCTTCTGCAGCCCCTGGCTCCTGCATCCGGCACCCTGCGTCTGCACCCTAAATCCTGCATCCCGAATCCTGCATCCTAAAGCCTACATCCCCCATCTGCATCCCGAATCCTTCATCCTGCATCCCCCATCCACATCCCGAATCCTGCATCCTGCACCCTGTGTCTTCATCCTAAAGCCTATGTCCCCCATCCACATCCCAAATCCTGCATCCTAAATCCTACGTCCCCCATCCGCATCTCGAATCCTGCATCCCAAATCCCGCATCTTCATCCTAAATCCCATGTCCCCCATTGGCACCCCGCACCCTGTGCCTTCATCCTAAATTCCACATTCCCCATCTGCATCCCGAATCCTGCATCATCCCAAATCCTACATCCTCTATCTGTACCCCGAATCCGCCATCCTGCATCCTAAATCCAACGTCCCCCATCTGCATCCCAAATCCTGCATCGTATGTTTTCATCCTAAATCCTACGTCCCCCATTTGCATCCTGAATCCCGCATCCTCTGTCTTCATCCTCATTCCCTACTCCCTC